CTACTTCATGTACCTACTATGTCTTGATGGAGAGTCATATCTTTGTTGGAAAGTTCTATTTGTGATTCTGCGGAGGGTTACGATTTATCTGATGAGTTTGGTACCGCCATTTTGGCAATACTTACTACACCTCGAATCCTCCACCCTTCCCCTCTGCCCCAGGGGTCACAGTTGAAGAAAGACTATTCATCTTCGTAATAAGGAACTGATTAAAGTGAATAGTTTTGTCGGGGGATGGTCCTGAGAATAATTTCCGGAGAAAGCTCAGTCGCCGAGTGTTCCATCAACCAATTTGAAAAAAAAAACAGTGAATCCACATTGCAGCCAAGAGTGCGAAGTTCTGAAAGGTTTCACCCCATAAAGATGTGCATTGTTTTGGTTTAAATTATTTATGAAAACAACTCGTTGTACATCTCATCCGCTATCTTTCTTTTTCTTCTTCCCTCTTTCCTTTCTCGCTTTGCACCATATTTTTTATCTACGCTTCAGTTACGAGTAACTCGCGGGAAGTTGGCGTGGTTAGGGGAATCATGGAGAGGTGCCAGGAGCAGTATGAAAATACAAAAACGCAAGGCAACTCAAAGTGACGTCAAGGTAAGTGGATTCGATTCTGTGAATCTTATTTCACTAATTGCATTCCCTTTCGTTTTTTCTCATTCCCTATGATTTGAAGTTATACGAGAACCTGAGATCAAATTGGAGGAGGAAATGCAAATTCTGAACGCCGAGCAACTTTCGCTTTTTGATGGAACTCGACCTTCACGGTTTGTTTTATTGATGTTTTTCGTCGTTTGTCCGCTTGAATAGCTTTTTTTCTATTTGATAAGCCTATGCGATTGTCATTGATCTTATCAGTTACTTCAGAATACTCTAAAGTAGACTTCAGAGCCTGCTCCTATTTATAAAATGGTGTACAAATTCTTTGCCATTTTTGCAAATACCCTAGAAGCCAACCTGTTCGAAGATTGAGGGTATCCGCAGTTTTTAATGCAATTCGATCCCAGCAGCTGTCGATTCCCTTCTCCCAGAACGAGGGGAGCCGGGATTTAATTTAGTCGTCTGGTCTTCCTCACCGATCTATGCCTCGAACTTATTTTTGTTTAGGAAACACTGGAGGTGCTTCACTAATCAGTAATAAGACCAGAAAAGGTTGGAACTATAAGGATTCAAGAACCTACTAGCCCCTATAACCCTGACTTTGGCTGTCTGTTGGCTGGCTCTACATCAATCGAGGGAATCATTGCTACTTTAGCCAAGGCAAGGTAACAGGCCTGAGTTGAAGAACAATGGAAATTGCTAGGTGACTCCTTGACCCCCTTTCGGCCCTGAACTTTTCGTTCTATTACTGCTCTAAAGTTGCTTTCTAGGCGTTTGGCATTTTGCTGGGCGAAAAACAATAATGAAAGTATTGTTCTATCATCTGAGGTTCCTTCAGACCTGTTTACTTGGCAATCCTTGGCCGTATATACAATGTTGAAAAGGGGAGGAAACATTACGGGAAAGGAGGTGGCTACCACTTCTTTGCAGGTGAGCGGTTGTTGTGAATACATTATTTTACTTATCTTTATTTATTTTTTTTATTTATTGCTTTTGTTCTTGTTCTATTTTTTACAGGCTGGTATAGTTTTGATATTTCTTTTCTGTGGTCCCGACTGTATGTAATGGAGCTGTCGCCTTGTTGGCGTCTCTAGGGTTTATTAATGAAGTTGATGCTCTTTAGACGTTAAATGATACCGCATATTAGAACTTGCTCTAAATGCTGAAGAATTTTCCAAAGTAGCGTGAATCTTGACGAACGTGGCAATGTGATGTGAGGGCTGAAAAAAATCTGCGACTGCAGAGGAAACTCACCAATGCGACGCGTGGCTGTCATTGATAATATTCGCTAATACTTCGATATTGTGGGCGGGGTCAATAATGGACAATATCGCGATCCTCGTCTCAACTTTAGGGGCTCATCATTTGTTTGGCAGAGGTGGCTTAGTGAGAGGTAGAGAATCTATTCCTTTTTATTGTCGAGAAACAATGGGAGAGATTGTAGGGTAGTGTCGGCGACAATTGTCACACGAAGTTCACTCAGGGAAGGGCATCCAACGAGTAATAGGTACTTGTCGAGATCCAGTAGGAAAAGTACACATAACGTGAGCTAGACAGCAACCATTTGGACGTCTCATATTCCTCGTCATTTCGCTGTGTCCAGTCGGACAGGGCACTGAATAGCGGATATTTGTCGACATTCTTTGCATGCACTTGTTTTTAGGGCGCGACGCTACGAGGGCGTTCGTAAGTGGTGATTTCACGGAAAGTGGATTGGTTGATAATACCGATGGGCTTTCTCACGATGATTTGTTAGGTAGGTTTACACATTGCGGCGCACGATAAAACTGATTACTTCTCCCTCAGATCTTCATTTCTGGATTTTCTATGATTTCAGGAATTCGTGATCGGATCTCATTTTATGAGAAAGACTACAAGTTAGTCGGTGTTCTTGTTGGTAGGTATTATGATGCTAATGGACAGCCAACGCAGGAGCTACGCGATGTACGTTCCTAAAGTTTTGTTTACGTCATGTCGCCTATACTGGATGTTGTTATGTTTTGTAATCCTTTATTTATTTTTGACCTTAATATTGATCATTACTTTAGGTATTAGGCCGTATGCAAACCGCAGCTGAATGGAAAGCTTCCAGGGCCGCAGAAGCTGAGGTTAGATATTTATTTTCCAATTGTTTTCATATGCTGAGCATTTCCTTTGTTTTCCTTCCCCCTCAATCAATGCTACTTATTAGCTTGTAGCTTTTTTTATTATTATTTGTTTTTTTGTTGTGGTATCGCTGTCACTAAATCTACATTTTGTGAGGTTTTCCCACCATGTAACAGCGAATGGCATCAAAATAGCGGAGGGCGGGTGTGGTGTTCCATATGAAGAGTGGAGGCATTCAACGAGATTGGGCTGGAGTACCAAGGTGCGACTTTCAGATTGACTTCTGTGCTTGTATTTTTCCCCAATACCTTGAGTTTCGTTTTCAAAGCCATTGTCAACATTTTGAAAAATATTCAGGTTACTCTACGATCCAAATACAAAACAACAACGTTGTGCTTGTGTAAAAAATTTTGGTGCGGGTTTATCGCAGCTGGATTTTTTCTTCTTATATTAAATTTTTGTAGCTAATCGAGGAGATCTTGACCATCCGAATCTAAGGGTAAGCCTATTTTGCTGTTTCTCATTGTTTATTTCAAAGAAATGGTATGATAGCGCATGCCTGATTTATTGAAACTACACGATCAAGGCTAACCAAAGCCACGAATCGTGCCCGACCTTTAGGTTTTTTCTTCCTGCTCTGATAGTAGGTGGCCCGTCTCACCAAATGCGCTGTGTTGAGAACTGAACTGGTGGGCGGTGTCAGGGAAGCAAAAAAAGAAGGAAGGCGTAGGATTGATTGAATGTGAATGGGATATTTCAGAATCTTTTTGCACATAGGCAGCAGAGAGTGAGCCTTTTTTAGCGTTTATGCATAAAAGAGCAATTCATATTTTCAAACCTCGCTTAAGATAGACAGCTTGGGTCAATAAGCAGACCTCTGCGTTAGTGAACATTATTTTCGACTTCAACAATGTCACCCTTGTCCTGCACCTTATGGTCTTTTTTGTCCTTCTTTTTAACTGTTTAGTTTTTTGCAACCAAACTTACTACGCTTGTCAAGCTATCACCGTCTGACGGTATAACCAGATTCGTGTGCCCAAGGCGCTTCTTAGAAGCATGCCACGGCTATTTTTTGTAGTCCAGTTGCTGTGAAGTTCATTCGGCATGCACAAACGTGCATAAGATATGCTTTGTTGTCTTTGCCACTCCTCTGTTCCCATTTGACACTTCCCCGATTTTTTTTTTCTGTTGCGGAAGGCTGATTGTTTGTGGTCCCTTTTCGAAGGGGTAAGGATGCTCTATTTGTCCCGAAAACCTCTGCGATATAAAATTTCCCATAAATATCTGTCGCTAACGCCACATATGCAATTATTCTCAACTCTCCCAAATGAAAAATAAGAAGACTGAAAACTGTGGCAAAATATATTGAAAAATTTCGTATTTCAGCAGTATCCAAAATGCTCGCCTTCATCTAACAGCTGTCGAATTGAGAACGATTGAATTTGAAGCTCTTGGATGTCAGTTGCCTTCAACATCTCACTATTCTCAGTGAAAAGTCGTAAGTAGGATCTTCTAGTCGTTCAACCCGGTAATATTTGCTGCCTTTGTTCTTGTTTGGCTGTTTATTTTGCTTGCTGTAAGCTTATCAGGGTTGAACATATGTGTTAGTCTCAACGTTTAGCGAATTACTTTGTCGTCAGACACAGCGAGATAAATGATAAGGCGATATTGTTGTACACTCCATGATTTGTTCATAAACTTTCCTTCCAAAATATGTCAAATTTTGTTATAGAGAGGAGCTTATTTGTATAGTAGATCTACATACTGCCACACAATCTTTCGTTATCGCTCTACTTGTGTTTCCTGTTTCCTCCAATTCTGGCACTTGTCTACTTAGCTTTTTATGGAGTACAATTTCATAGTCATATTCGACGTGTGTGGTTCGTATGTATTATTCAAATTAAGGCGAGATCTATGAAGAACTAAAGTATTATTTTCCTATGTAGGGTATTGAATTAGTTGTACCCAAGAGTGTCTTAATATTGTACATCAAATATGTTGGTGATTGTTATAGTAATAAATAATTATCATTTTATGCTGATATTTTCCAATATTTCCCACTTATTGAGTCCGTGGTCTCCTGATATACCATTGCTACCAGTTCCTCGCTGGGATTTTTTACTCATCCAAATATATTCCAAAACAGATTTACCTGAATGACTATATTTTGAATATTTTTGTTTTGAGTTATTTTGGAATGGTGAAATACTCCTAGTGTTGGAATTAAAATTCGCACATTCACATTTTTCCTGTTTTACTCAAAATTCTTCAAATTTGAAGGGTAAAGATTTTAAGTGATGACCGATACAAAAATTGAAGACCTACGATTACCTGCGGCGGTTGTGAGCCGAATAGTCGACAAGGCTATCGGACCAACAGGAACTGTGTCGAAGGAAGCTCGGACAGCGATTGCTCGTGCTGCGTCTGTGAGTCGTTTTTGGATTTTTTCCTTCTAATTTTTATTGTTATAATGAACATGGTCTGATTGTGTAGAGGAGGTGATGAGGCTTTGCCTTGAAAACACCCTTGTCGTGAGTGGTACGGGGGTGTGGTTCGCCACGGCAGTAAGCGACTTTTACCTCTTGCAGTGCAAACTTCTCGCTGTGGAAACCCCAACCACTCTTGATCAGCGGTGGACTTGAGGTTCTCGTAGTGAACAAAATTTCGCACTGCAAAAAGCGAAAAAGTCGCTCTCTCCTGGCTTATCGAACCCGTGATATCATCACTAAAAGCGTATTTCTCGCAGATAGTATCGTATACTCCAAGTGCTTTCCAAGCGCTCTCTAGTACCTAACGCCATTCGCAACAAAATGGTCAGCGGATTTTGTCTTGTTTTTGTTTGTTAAGTGCTGTTTTTAGCCGCAGTTCGCCTTGTGAATGTTTGGGAACAAAAGTTCAGCTTTTTCTCTGCTTTTGAGGCGTACCTTACAAAACTGTGAATTATGAGAAAAAATGATTGAAGAGATTATGGTTGTTAAAAGCTTTCAATTTCAAGGTCTTCATCCTCAACGTCACATCTTATGCGAATGATTATGCTGTGACGAAGAAGCGAAAAGCTTTGTCACCTGAGGATATATATCAGTTAGCTGACTATTTGAAAACACAAATGTGTTTGGATTCTGATGAGTCCGCTTTCGCATCCCAATTCACGGGATTTCCATAGGTTGATAGCAATTAATTTACCTTTCGTCATTAACACATTGCGTACCAAGCCGTTTTTGCGCTGGCGAGCTCGCCTGGCCGCGCATGCATTCGCACCGTGCGCCACATGGTGGCGCATGCGGCCACACGGGACAGATATTTTTCAAAATCCTTTTTAGAGGGTCCTTTACCACTTTGTTTTTTTTATTGTCTTGCTAAGTCACAATTTTGTTAGGACTACGTTATAATTTTTGCCTATTTGAATTGTCATGAACATTCCAAGTGGCTATCGAATGATTATATAACAGCGGTAGTGAGGGATCAAAAAATCTGCTCTGACCAAGTTCTGGTGAAAAAAAGCGATGGCAACAAGTTCGTTCCTTTACCCCACAACCTGCTTAAGCATGTTTATTGAACAGCAATGAGGTTTATTCAGTTTACAGGATATTCGTAGGTGCATTTCACCCTCCACTGGACTTCAAGGGATGTGGGTGTATTACACCCATAATTTGCCGAACATTTATTATCGATTTTGATACGAGGGTAGCGCAAGCGCGAGTAGGATTTCAAGTAGAAGTTATTATGAAGATGAGTGCCTAAAACCACGAGACTTCAAAAGTATACAGCCAAAAGGCAAGTTAAGTGGAAGAAGCGCCCCGAAAGCCTTTACGCTGATGTTCCGCTGGCACATCACTTTATTCACGCGAAGCTTTTGGCTGAAACACATTATTGCAGCTCAGTTGGATTACATTAGATTGCGGTGACTGTTGAATTTGCTCGAAAGAATGTATTTTATTCAAGCAAATTTAATTAGCAACCTAGGCTCTTATTAGTGTCACATAAAAATATTAGCTCACAAGCTGGAGATGTCCCACTCAAGTATGTTGTTCTCCTAGTGAGATAACATACATCTGCGCAAACATGGAATGAACATCGACAGCCACTGTGAAGAAAACCAATTCAGAAATCGTGCGCCACCATGTGGCGCACGCGGCCACACGGGGCAGGAAAGTCGTGCGCCGCCATGTGGCGCACACGGACTCGCAATGTGTTAAAAGCAAAGTACGGAATGAACTGAACTGTATTATTGTCACTTGCAAGTGACTGATTGTGAATCTGTACCACCAACAGTGAAAACTAAAAAACAGTCCAACATCCGAAATAACACTCTCTCGGTTAGGCAGCGAAGCGAAGTAGCACTGACTTCTTGCGTGGGCCAATGCTACGTCCTGGGGCCTTAGCGCCCTTAGCGCCTCGGTCCGAATTGCTGCATACATTTTTTTCCGGATGCGCACCGCTGCACTTTTCTTGAGGAATAACTTAATTTCGATCGAAAACCTTGGCCTTTACCGTAAACTTAAATTTGAAGGACACATAAGTGTTCATTTTCAGGCATTTGCGAGCTTATTTCTGGTTTTATATTTATTCATTCATTTTGTTGTTTAATTACAGCAGTGTTTCATGAGTATCAATGCCTCATTGACCACAGCGCATTCGTTTCAGGCTCTTCAAGTTATTGAATGTGATCACATCGTTACTCCATTGGCGGACGAGCTTGAGGCATGGAAATCAAATAAGGTATTTTTTAGTTGTTGAAGGCTCAGAATGTCGAGAGTAACGTGGTTTATCGGTGTAAGTGAGGATTTCGAACAGAGCTGCTCCATGATTCGGAGATGAATCTTAGGGAAAGCACCTTCGATGTCAAGGGCGAGTCAATTGAGCCTCAACTTCGATGCAGTGTCAAAAAAGGATGGTAGCAGCCAGCGAGTTTTAGCTAATTGTAAGTGAGCTTCGTTGAAGGCTCAATTAAATGTGGGCCATTCCACTTTCGATTGAGCCTTCAACGGTGTTTGCTTAGCCAAACTTTCGGTACTGCTTAACCATTTCTGTGCTGAGCAGCTGTGAAGCTCGTAAGTTGGAGTTGATATGAGAGGTTATATGAAGGGCTGACAGATGCGTTCATTCGGAGAGCTGAACTAGTGCCATCATAGCGTTTCCAGTTGCGTGGCCGTGGCTCACCATCATGCTAGGTTATCGCTTCTTCGTCAAAATGTGATCTCTGTTCCAACGGTGGAGGTTGTTCAGTGTCATTTTGCTTGTTTAATATGTCTTTTTGTGATTGAAAATTTGATCTTCCTCTCTCTTGCTTCCTCAATTTCGAGGAATCTGAGATTTTTCGCTGTAGGCTTTATCAGTTCTGGAGCTTTGGAGCACATTGTGATCAAATACTGTTATTGAAAGAATTTTAGGCTCAACGATCGGAGGAGAGAAAGCGAAAGGCGGATAAGAAAGCAGTAGCAAAAACAACGGGTGAAGACGGCTCATTCACAATCGCACCATCGGAGGAGATGCGTTGAGAACTCCAGAAAGATCCTGGAAACTGACCGCCACCTTCTTGTTCACGAATCATCTTCAGCGGCTATTCTAATTTGTGTTTTTTGTTTTTTTTTCGTTCCCTCACTTCGTAAAGTGGTGCATCAGTCATTCTAATTCGGGGGCAGTAATTGGTGAGGTTTCTGTCGATAGGTGCTCTGGGTTCTTCGATAAGGGTAATAATTACGTTACCTAGACTCTCGGTCGTTGAGTCCAGCCGGATGGTCGGGTTGCTTTGTGGTGTTTACCTTGCTTTCTGCGGAAATGTGAAGTTCGATGGCATGTCTAATTACTAGGGGACGTAATTCTTTCAATTTTGAAATGACCCCTTCTTTTCGTAGTAAGGGCTCGCGATAACGACAGCACGAACCAGTTCGACTCTTATTGGGTAAAAATATATTGCCGGTTTTCTTGATGCAAGAGAGTGGGTGTTCACCGGAATGTGAGTGCACTGCTGCCAGCAGTTATAGACGTTGCGTGATAACTGTTGTCAGCTGCTTTACTGAATATCCAGCGTACGCTCTGGAAGCAGCTTATCCATCACACGCCTCTATCATCGGCGGTGATGGCCTCGTCATTTCCGGTGACGTCTACCCCAACTCTCCGATATCGACAGTAAATGCCTCATCTTTTGCTGTGAACAATTTACAGCCATTTCTTCAAGCCTAGTCTACTTTGTTATGCGTAACGATCCGATCAATCGTCCCCTCCCATCCCCCCCCCGCCGAAAATTCCGGACCGAGTTTCAAGTTTCAAAAAGTGAGACCGAGTTTTGTTATGTGAACCTAATTAACGGCCATTTGTCTGTTTCATTTTGTGCAGGTATATACTTTGTTCTGAAGAACTTCTCTGTGTAATACATTACGGACCGTCGCTGCAGGTATCTTCATATTCTTCTTAGGGTTCTTCATCACTTCATTTCAATCTGTTCAAGCTTATCAGTAAGGTGTTTAGAAGTTCTAATTTTAAAATGAACAAGAGCAGTCCAAATTGAACATGATATTCAGCTTCTTTACGTTACATTGTGGAACTTGCAATCCGTGATGTGTCCGATTCTCCGGAATTTACTTGCTATTGAGCTAGATCCCCTTAAACAGGACCGGGATCTGCAGGAAAAAAAAACTATCCCCGGCTCACAGGCTTAAAGGCAAGATTCGGTATAAAATAGAAAAGCGTTCAGTTATGAAGCTAGAGGTGAGAAGCATTCTCGGAAAGAGAAAGGAAGCAAACGACGACTTCCCCTATTTTAGCAGCACTCCAAAGTGGAATAGGGAAGGGGCACGTTGGACGAGTTTCACGAACCTAACTCTAGCTGCTCCAGTGCCAATAACATTGGGTCGCTGCCTCAAATGCGCCCGCACTTTTCAAGCAGCGCCATGTGGCAACCGACAGCGAAGGTTGGGGCTTGCGGAACGAAGGTGTGAGTTGCGGGGTGGACGAGCTCCTTTGCGCCTTTGGCGCGTACTTTCAAGCCGCAAAGGACGCTAATAGCGGCTTGCCTCCTTGTCCTACTACGCCGGAAGGAACATGGCGAGCGCGCCTAATCCCGGAGCGTGCTTAACAGTGCTTCATTGTGTGATCCACCCATATTTAACCCAATCGCCCTGGCGGTGGCAATTGCCAATCGTATAGAAACTTCGTATTATCTGCAAACGTTTATATATACCAGATTAGTCCCCCGTCAACCGCCGGGACCTTCCTTTCCTGCGCAAGCTTTCTATCCTCCGCTATGGTCCCTTCCTCCTGTGACACCAACACCTCGTGGAAGTGACGCGTATGCAACACAATGGTGTTTCAAACAGTAGAAGGGACACAATCATGATATGACGGTAGATTTTTCGCTTCCCTTCCTCATCCTCCCTTCCTCTCTCCACTGCCCTCCAGCTGCCACTGCAGCACCATGTGGAATGAACGGAAGTGTGCTAAGCAGGTGTTTATATAGCCCTAAGAGTGTTATCACAACTATCCTGCTACAAAACATTGATATCTCAAATCCTGTAAGCTACCCGATTTGTTAGCGGTTTGTTTATCCCATGAGCTTCCTTCTCACTCACTTCATTTTGCGGACGGACACACATACATACACACACACACACACACATACAGATACACAAACCGACACACAAAGTTAGCGCTTTATAAAATAGAAGGATTAGGGTATACACATAGTGCAACAGTCAACGATGTTTCTGAATCCGTTGAATGAAGTAGGTGAAGTATATCAGATTACTAGCAATGTAATTTTCACGGAGCACGAGGAATACGATTATTTACAGGAACAGAAACTTGATGCCGACGCCTGATTCCACAGCTGCCAAAATCAAGACAACAGCCTTCAAGTGATGATTAGGTGTGATCAATGTTAGGACTTTGATGTTAATGATGTTTTCTCATTGAGTTTAGTTCCACTTCTACTCTATCGTTGTTGATTTCCATCCGTCCAATACAATAACGAGACAGCGTGAGTGGTGAATGTTCTTTTTGTGGAGCGCTATGACATTACTAGATTTTGATTAAGAAATCATTGTCGTAGGGTTCAGTCTCATGGCTCATTCTCTTTACAATCAAATTAATTGTCCAGTAATTGGGACAAAAGCAATCTCCGGTAGTCAGCCTAATATACATGCATCTAACTAGGGTTGGAAATTTTGCATCATAGTTCCAGTAATGGAAAGCGAATTTCATGAACCAATTGCTCTGTTTTGAATTTTTTCCTCGGAAACAAGGGGAAGTTTTGCCTGATTTAGACCCCGATGAGTCCTGGAACCGAGTCGCCACACAGATCATAACCCTTTTGTTCATATTAAATTTGTGCCTGGGAAAGTTAGATTCTCAACGGCAACTGTTTTTCGGAAAGGTTTCTCAGATAAAGTGAAGGTCGAAATTTTAAGAAAAAGGATGCATGGCTCACAAATGTGAAGAATAAATAAATATTCACAGAGTGCTATTTTAAAATGCCCTACTTTGTACCGCTTCTGCATTCTTTAGGTGACCATAGGTGCTGGATACTGTTTGCCAGAAGGTGATTTGGCAACGCGGCTAGTCTTTTGATCATGATAGCACAATCATCGTTGAGGCCACTACATACTAACGTTGTCCATGGTAATATTGCCGTAATGCTATTGCTATTTATATTCGAGCTTGCTGCTTTTTATGCGAAATCTCTTTCTCTTTTGCTCAATCGGGTTTTATCGTCCTTCAGTGTTTTAGCCGCCTATGTATACTCGCGATAAACGCGCGGTACTATGCTGCATGAGTAATTGCAGTTGAAACTCCAACACGGGACTGTTTTTTTTGGCGTTTCTCCATTAAAAATATTGTTTTTGTGCAGATGTTATGGTATGTGAAGATTTTGGGAGGTCTACAAATCCACAACCGTAGTGGAAGTCAAAAAGCTAACTGCAATATGCAGACAAGATTTCGTTCAAATATCGTCTGTACTTCAAAAAGTAACTAGTCGTAATAGCGGTCGAAACCAATGGAATGCGTAGGACATGAGGTACACCTCAAATTTTGACATTGGCTGTAAGAATTTTCGTGTCAAGAAACTTGAAAACACTGGTCTCGGCGTGGCGCCATAAGGTAGCCTTTGCATATGAGAAATTGCTTTTTGGTTTATGCTTAACTTCGAATAGCAGTGGGCTTCATTACATTAGGATATAATTAAATGGCGACTTCTTTCCATCGGTGCTGCCCTCTTTCACGGCAACGCTCTCTCTCTCTCTCTCTGCCTGCTGAACGACTAGAACCCCACGGCGAGAGGGTGGGCGTCCAGCGGCGCGAGCGCGAAGATATGGCCCTGCTAGGCCGCTGAGAACACACTGCTTGCTGGCGTAGTCCTGCACCCATAGAGGCCACGCCTGCCTTTCGACTAAGCACATTTACTCTTCTCCGACTCTCGACTTATCGTGAAGTCCTCCTTTCATGCCGTCATTTCGTCGGAGTTGCTCTGGAACGTTAATTGGTATTTTTACAGCGAGTTCTTGTCCACTGGTGTCTTGCTTTGCTCGACCATCCGACTTTTTGACTGTTGTTAAGCAGTTTTGTAACCCGGAATCACCTGGATAGTTGAAAATAGTCCTGCGCCACTGGTTAGGGGCTCTTGTTGCAAACTTTAAATGAATCTTACACGCAGCCAAAACGGAACGAATCAAGTATTGGTTCAGACGATGAGGTTCGTTGCGAGCCCTTCCACGTTCTATATGTAGGTTGTATTGTGTTCCGGAAGTGGGTTCCAACGCCTTATCACGCCATGGATAAGGCGCCACTGCCCTATCATCTCATTGGGTAGGGCCCCTACCCAATCCATTATATGTGCAACTTTCCCATTCGTTCCTATGAAAATTATCGCTCACGATAAGTGGTATGGGACGATAAGGAAAGTTACGTAGTGGATTGGGTAGGGGTCCTACCCAATGAGACGACAGGTGACGCTTCAGGGGCAGTGGCGCCTTATCAACGGCGTGATAAGGCGCCGAAACCCACTTCCGGTTAGCAGCTATATCTCGTATCAGACCTGGAATGGGTTGTAATGACAGCGTAGTACTAGATATGACACCGTTGCTCTGTTGTCCGACGGAGAGACATCTGCTGACGTGATCTGTTAAAGAAATAAAATATGTTCAGAATTGTAAACGACTCGCTCTGCGCCGCCTTCCGACCGTTTTAATCCTGGTAGGGGGTAACTTCACCCGTATCAGTTGGCTTGCTATAAATAGCCGTGTACCACTGATACGGGACTCTTGTCTGAACTAAATAAATCTTACAACAAGCCACAGATTCAGCGCGCTCATATTAACTAGCCAAAGCGCTTTCAAAATACCAAGGTGAAAAACCTAAGAAATCTTCACCTATCAAATCGGGTTTTGGTGCATCGGCCGGGAAACTGCGATAGTAATCAGGGACTTCAGTTTCACGATTAATGGCCTTGTAAGTTTGATAGGGTATGCTGAGTTCTAATGGCTAACAATGTCTCGCTTTGTCA